AGTTTTGAGCTGATGGGCTTGCTGTATGTGATTGACCAGGACACTGGCTCATTAATTGAGGAAATAATGTCAATAGAAATTTGTTACTTATAATCTGGCTGTTTATGGAACATTGCAGTGTTGGTGTTATATTTAACTACACAAGTCATTTGGAAATGAAAACAAAATCATACTTTAAAAAATTTACGATGTTTGGAACTGTATCAACATTTTTAATTTCTCAACATGAGATTCTTAAATGAATATGATTATTCAAATAACCCTTGAAGCAGATTCCCTTAAACTGATCTGAATTAATCATTTTTTTTTTCTGAAAGTTGCTTTTTTGACCAAAGTTATGACTCACCTAAACACAGAAATGCTATAAAGCCATTATAAAATTTTCTACTCTAACCATTTCCAGAAATAATAAATGGAATTTTGTAATGCTGTGATTTACTATAGTATGGCAAAAAAAAAGTTGTTTGCACATGAATATCCAACCGTTAGTCTGAATCAAATGAGAAATCCAAGCACTGAAATGCCAAAGAATATGTGTTTGAATGTCCACCATTCCATATTATGTGGGAGAAAATATGAACCTAATGGAACTGCTCAATGTAAATAAACATCGTACTGTTTTAAAGATGTCATAGGGATCAATTCAAAAATTTAGACATCCCAAAACTTCAGAGCAGGTTACCATCCTGTCTACTTTTGGTTTGAAATGGACATGAAGTTCAAGATTGACAGAAGAAAAATAAAAATAAATAAAAATAACAACTTTCAGACATTTTCACATTGGTAGTCTTACACTTAGTCACTCATCCAATGTTAATACTCATATTGTTAGAGCTATTTTGATAAAACTTAACTTTTGGATTTTTATAAATGAATTAACCTAAGTTTACATGTTGTATTAAATCAATTTTTTTTGTTCCTCATTGTACTGCATTCAAACTACTGTTTTGTTTTTGTTTTCTTTGCAAATAAATTAACATTTGTCTTTTGGCTGCATTAAAGGTATCAAAAAAAAGCTATAAATTGAAGATTTGATTTTTGCATTCATATAACATTTTCAATAATTAGAATCTGCAGACAAATATTGTGTTTATCAAAGCATTAATATTTCTAAATTGTATTAGTATGTGGTATATTTGCATATAATAATGTCTATTAGGAAAATCAAGTTGAAATAACTGACTGGAGAATGAAAATGGCAAATCACCCCCAACTCTCCCCTTTGTCAATTTTAATTGTGTTATCATGGAAACCTCTTTTTAGAAATGAAAACTCAAGATTTCTAGATGTTATGGATAAAAATGTCATTCCTTAATGCTAGCCTTTACCGTACAGTGAATGCTGGATTATCATTTGTCCTTGGTATCATCTACATTGTGTGGGATTATAGTTCTGAAAATCTAAGACGAATGATGATTGAATTTTTTTGTCAGTTGAAGTATTTTCTGGTGCTTATTTTTATTTTTGCCTTTTGTTTGCTTTCAGTTGCTCTGGAATACAAACTGCGAAGCCTCTTTGCGCGTTGTTGATTGATGCCATAGAGAAACATTTTTTCACAATGTTTATTCGAAGTAGTTTTCAATTCAAGGTCAGGATCGTCAGCCCTATATTCCAGTAATGTTTTCAATTTTCTATCCAATGCTATTCAGTAAGCACAGAAAAGAGCAGTACTTGCTGTTCTGAATGTGAGGAGCATTGTAATGTTCACAAAGGAACTTTCTCATAGAATCTCAAATGTACAGTCGCATCAAATAGATAAATCAATTGTTAGCGGTTTAATCTGATACATGTTTTAATAAAAAGTATTTTTCACGGTAAATAGCCCCGAACTGAAAAAGAGAAATCCCACATGTAGGCATGTAAAGTTGTTTTACAAGGTGCTGATCTTGTCTAACACTATATGGTATACACTGAACGTTCATGGACTAATACTCCTATAAAACAATTCTACAGTTTGTTTATGATCAACATTAAGCTGTCCTCATTATCACAGATTTACATTATCCTGGTTAGAATACACAAATCGTGCTCAAAGTTTAACGAGAGAAAAGAAACATTTTTTAAACAATTGTATTTAAGTTCAACGGTGAGCTTTATGCAAATAAATCAATGAAGTTTCACTCGTGATTTAATTCCCCACCTTAAATTCAAAGTTTGCGATTAATCGCTACCAGCTTTCACTTCTTCTGGTTGCATGAAATTTAGATTTAAAAAATCACATGGCTGCGTGTGTTTTATACATGTTCCTTATTTGGGCACTTGTTAAGGGCTTGCTTACTTGGTTCGTCTTCGGGAGATCATCTTGAGAAGAAAGAGACTTGTAAACAGTTAAATCGAGTCACAAGGATGGTCGGTCGCTTCTTCTGCTCAAAGCGCCGCTTCTAAATGTGAACCTAGTTGTTTCACCACTTCAAGCCGGGTCTCGTTTTGTCTGACCAAAAGACCCCGTTAACAATGGTTGCCTTCAAATTGTTCCCTTAAAATTATTCATCCAGCTGAATCTAGCCTCTTGCTGCCCTGTGTGAATGTGAATTATACTGAGGGAGAAAAACAGGCGCGTGAGGTTTAAACATCAAGGCTATTTTAATCAGTTAAATTAAAGCAGCGTGCAAACATCAAAGAATGTACACAGCCCATCACCTTCAGGCAAGCATATTTCCCTTCCACGGCACCTACCCCACCCCCAAAAACTGTCTTTTGGGTAAAATACGCGATTTAATATCTGGTTTTATTTTAAAAAGACTTGCGTACTGCAGAATTTACAAAAATGAAATAAACGAGCTCTTGAAGATGTATTGCTTTTTGGAGTGTTTTTTTTTCAAGACTATCCTAGATTAGAAATAAGTCCATTAATGTGTTCGAGCAAGACAGCTTTCTATTCTTCCCGGAGACCTGTAGTTAGCTACATGTGTGCTTGGAGACCCTCTCTCTTCCCCCTCGCTGCAAATGAAACTTGAATAGATTTGACGTCAAGAAACTCGGATGAATAACAGGAGTAATTGTTGTTAATAATTTGTATGTACAGTCCTGGCCGCAAAAGGAAGATAAAGTATAAGAGACTGTGTTTCTTAGCAACCCGCGTGTATGTGCGAAACAGCAAACTGTTTGCTAACAGCTTTCACTCGAGAGGCTGTTTCAGCACCTTGGATAGAGACAGCACCAGTCCTCCACTGTATGGGCAGCTCGTGGAAGTCGACACTTTTATTTCCCCATGCTGTGGTTTTTATTTTTAAAAGAAGCAGCCAAACACCAAGTTACAGGGCGAGTGGTTCTAGCTACACGTTAACGTGCCGTCAAACCCACCATTAGTTCTTTATAGCTGTGCTATGCTCAGATTTCGGGAACGAGCCAAATATACTTTTCCTTGCAGGCAATCAATGATAAAACCGACAAGAAATTGTGCGTGTCTTATCTGGCGCGGGAAGATGGGCGGAAGGAGTGTCTTTTGAATAGAAACGAAATAGGGAAAAGCTCCAAATATCCGATCTATCTACCCGCCCAGCCTAACACACTATTTCACACCGAACGCTCCCCGGAACAAAATAGATTTTTATCATGAAGCAAATTTTGTCTTGGGTTGATTTTGACCAATACCGAGCGTCCTATCTTTTATAATATGAGACTTCTGAAGCAAACACACCTTCTAAGCTTTTTGATCGACGCCTTTTTTTAAGCTCCTTTAGTTCGTGTTTGTTGTTATTGGTGTTTTCTACATTGCTCCCTGAAAGCTTTACATCTCTTCACTGGGGCGGCTCTAGCAAAGCTAGTCCCTTTTAATGCTGTTTAACAATAAAGCTACTTTAAACTGTAGTGCGTGTATACTTACCTTAGCCCTCTCTCAATGTGTTGGAGCACAGAAAATTAGCACGGTGCAGCCGGAAAGTTTTTTTTTAAATCATCGTGTAATAGTTTTGAATGGAGGTAGGAGGTGACTCCTGGGGCGTGATGTGATTTGACCTGGAGCACGTTGATCGCTCCAGTTGGCTTGTTTCTGTGTTTTGGGATCCAAAAATAAACTCGGGGAAGCGGGAGTATTCGGGTCACAAAATCTTCCCCCCACTAAATGCAAATCCAAGCAAGAGAGAGCCGGAAACCAGAGTTCCGGGGCGAAACCACCGTTTTCTTCTGATTGTACCTCAGTCCCGCTCCCTTTTGAACCGTGCAGTAGTTGGATACAGTAATTGTGAGATGTGCCTGATTTGTATAGCAGCGGGATTGTTGAAGCTTTCTGTGTCAATGTGAGGTACCAGCTCGTCGCTTAGTACATTTCAAACAAAAACACCAGTTTCTTGACTTCACTCTTTCTCCGCCTGGTCTCGACTACCAACCACCCCCCACCCCCTATAAAAAGCTTCCATATAAGACAGCGCACCTCCTTAAATGCCAAACGTGTAATATAAAATGCTGTCATCTTTGAAATCTTATATTCAGCAACTGATATGGACGTCTATTGAACCCAGCCACCCTCCTTCCCCTCCCCTTCCCAAGCTGGTCGCTTTCTCCCAGGCAGGGACCGAGTCTCTTTGTTCCCGATCGCATGTTTTCTAAGAGGCACTCGGAACCTCTCGCTTGCAACATGATGATCAAGCCCAGAGAGAAAAAAAAAATGTGGTGTCATGCAATAGACAGTTCCGAATAGTCAAGGATCTCACTACATTATCCTTTCAACACAATTTCATTCCGAATACATGCTCCTGCTCGCAAATTGTATTTCGTCTTTTTATTTATTATTTTGAAATGCGTCCAACGCAACCCGAGAACTCACGGGAATGGGGGGAGTGCTTTGTGTTTCTTGCATTTTTTTTCCCATTTTAATTTTGGTAGTAAAGAGGGAAGGGATTTATGATGATTGGAGGTAGAGAGGGGAGGAACGTGCGCAAGCCGGCTTTTTATGGCTGATGGGTGGAAGCTACCACTGTCTGGGGTGGTGTTGTGTGTGGATAAAGAGGGAGGCGGAGGGAGGGGTGAGGGGGAGTGGGAGTGAGGTGGTTGGGGTGGGGGGGAGACAGGCTGCTTTCTCCACCCCGGCTCTGCGCCGACCTTGAGCCCATCCAGTCTGTTTAAACGGCCGAGTCAATGTAAAGGAAAGTTGCCTGACGTCACGCAGTGTGGGAGAAAGATGGCCACGTTAACGAACGGCGTGCAGCAACAACAGCAACCAGCAGTCAGTCTGAGCACCACCATCCAGATCAGCACTGCCAACGGGCCTATGAACGGACTCAGCCACAGCCAGAACAGCACCATCCCCATGAAGGACCACGACGCCATCAAACTTTTCATCGGCCAGATCCCCCGCAACCTGGAGGAGAAGGACCTCAAGCCCCTCTTTGAGGAATTTGGCAAGATCTACGAGCTCACGGTGCTGAAGGATCGCTTCACTGGCATGCACAAGGGTCTGTACACTCTCAGCACTGCCTTCGCTGCTCTGAAAGCCACTCAGGGCTTTCCCCAAACTCGCTGCGATCTGAGTGGGCTTGTGTTGCTTCTCTCTGTCTCTTTAATGCTTTATTTTTCATGTTGGGGTCTAGCCAGTTAGTGATAGGGTGCTGAAGGATTGTGTGACAGGCGAGAACATGAGGCACCAACTCGTTACTTAGTTTTTTTTTATTTTTTTTAAAGAAAAGCATGTTTTAAAGAGAAGGAGCGGTCCGTGATTTTATTTTATAAGAAAGAAACCTGGTAACTGATGGGTGCTGAAGGCTGGCTTTTTAGTCTGCTTCCTCTCTGCACACTTCGCGCAGAATGAAAGAACTTGAGATTTCAAAGCACTCGGCGAACAGTGTAGTTGTCTGTCTCCGCCACCCTCCCGTTTCTTTTTGTCTTTAGATCATTTTAGTTGTTTTTTTTTCTCTCTCTGTCTTCCTCCAGTTGAAAGAGACTCACTGCGAGTTAACAGTTCAGAAGGATAGCTCTTCCGCTCGAACAGTCTTCATGTCAAAAGAAGACAACTTTTATTTTTAATATCTATTTAATGATTAGCAAGACTTGGGTTGGGATGACTGAAACTATGTGAGGAGTGCGGGATATGGGGCGGGTGGGGGGCGGGTGCATGTGGTGGTGAACACGGTTGGTGATAAGCGCCAGCCACACACACATACACTCATAACTTGCAGGACTTGTACGGTTCATTTTAGAAGCGAAGTGACCCAGCTGTGTGAAATGAAGAAAAGCACACTAGAGTGTGCAGGTGCACAGTCAGTCCGCGTGTTGGGGACAGGGCGATGGGGTGGGAAGGTTATGGAGGAGGGAGGGAGATGGTACAAGGTAAGATATGAGAAAAAAGCCTTGAGTTATCTATAATTTAAAATGCAATATTTATGAGCTCACCGGCCGCATACTCGGAGGCGGATAAGACTGCTTACTCCTTTCAATAAACTAGGATAGCATTTCAATAATCTGGGTGGTGTGATTCCAAACACTAGTTCCCTTTAAAGCTTTAGATCATTGTCTACTAATCATGTTATGATTTTGCATTGTTCTTTTCCAGTTTAAGATATTTTAAGGAAAAGAAACGTATCTCATTTCCGAGATTAGTCGGAATATTAAACTTTGAATTATTTCTCGAGTATGTGGTCAGTTTTTAAAAAGAAATGTTATTGGCGTCTGCTCCACAGAAGCTGGGTCAGAACCATGTGTACAGCCCCCTTTTCTCTGTATACGGCTGGGTTGGAGCTGCAGAGTAGAAGTTGCTGAAGGTGTGCTTGTACATCAGCAGTGACAACTCCTGCGGGTTAACTTCAAATGCCAGACCACTGTGCAAGACAGCACAGACCTCTGATAAAGTAACTGTCGCAGCCTTAAACAGACTAGCTCTCTGCCATCGAATTGCATCCAGTGTCCCTTTTTAAATGAAACCAAAATGTTGCTCCAGATGTGCGTTGAAAGGACTAAAGCATCTCCAAGAGTGAACAAGTGCATGAGTCCTGTGTGCTACCTTTGAGCTATGTCTGAAGGTGCATATTTTGTGTTTGTGCTGAAGTATGTTTTGGAATTAAATAGTATACTTGCATATAGTTGTGCTACTATAATCAACTGCTCTGGCATTAATAATGCAAGAGGACAGCATTTTTAAAAGTGAACACACTTTTACATGTTTTATATTCCAAGTTAACTGTGGCTAACGATATAAGTCGAACAAAATGATATAAGTCGATAGTATGCAAGTGGTTTAGTCACATAGCTGTTAGTGACACGAGCGTAGCATGTGCCCAATATTTACGATGTTAGGACAATAAACAGCAAAACCATTTCAGAAAAGGTGACGGCAAAATTCTAAACACAATGTTTTGTGTGTGTTTTTAATTAAATCATTAGGTTGTGCCTTCCTAACGTACTGTGCCAGGGAATCTGCTCTGAAGGCCCAGAGTGCATTGCATGAACAGAAGACATTACCTGGGGTAAGTTCACGAAATTCTTTCAAGTTTCTTCCCTTGGTGCTGGATTCGCGCCATTACCTTCCATGCAAAAAAAAAGTTACCGCATCTCCTCAGGCGCTGTTTAGATTTTGAGTAATAAAACTTTAAAATGAAAGTCGTTCGTCGTATTATTGGCAGTGTTGTCCGCTGTATCTATTTATGCATTTGGTCCAAGTTGTATGGGGGTGTGAAAGTGGAATCTGGATTCCACTATGGTAAGGCTTTGAGAGAGAACAAAAAAAGAAGATTTTTTTGAGCTCTGGAATGGTGATCGCTTCACGGGTGTGTAACCCGTCATCTGTATCACATGCAGCCTCTAGTCTTTTTGATGTGTGTTTAAACGTTTTGTCTATATATAGGTGAAGTACATGACAGCTTTTAGAAAGGTAGGAGGATATTCAAGTACAGATGAGCCACGTGGATGACAATGGGCATGTTATATTCTATTTAAAGAGCTGCGATGTCTTGCCTTGTCAGTACGGGGTGTATTTCTTTTAAGATCTAGCTAAGGGAAGACTGTAGTGTGATTATGGACATTTTTAAGACTGGCTTTCAAAAGTCATTTATGCAATCAGCTGTGACATCCTCTCTCATCGATTAACTCTGCTGCTGGAAATACATATTTTATAACAAGCTGACAAATCCAAGCAGGCGTGTTACCAACCAGCGCGGTTTGGGGTTGAGAGGGAACGCGGGCCATACAATCTTTGCATGAAACACTCTGTACTGGATCATTGTTCCTTACCCTTTCTTTTCATTAATTGGAGGGTGGCGTAAGTTTGAACATTTTCGAAAGCCAACCAATGCAAACTTCACCAAATCCTTTAATTCTTCTATTCCGTGCCTTAGTCACCTTATAATTCCTCTTCCTGTCCCTCCCTCAATGTTTCTTGCAATATATGGGGTTTTATGTATGCTTAAAAACGTATATGTGCATTTTACATACGCGTATATTTTATATATGTGTGGATGGATGATAGAAAGTAATGTTTCATGCTGAATGAAATATATAAATAGTAAAAAGCAAAACTGCATTAGAGTTATCCTCAACAGACTAACAATGGGAAAGAAAAAATTGTGATTGAAGTTTTTAGATTAATATCATCCGTGTCACCTCTGATTCAATCTGTGTTTAAACTGTGTTAATACTGATTAAAAATGTGTATAAATACAGAGTCAGAGATTTATACTTGGTAGCTGTAGTGAGAATCGTTATGTATTCAGTGTATAACCACCTACTGTCATGGGGCTGTGTGGCTTTTGTCAAGACTTATTATCATACAGAAGCCTTCAGCTTTCCCATGGCCCACTTCATTACCATTGTAGAGATGTATTTAAGTCAACAGCTGTCACTACTATGAAGCAGCCCTTCCAGTTTTTTTTTAAAAAGCATCCCCCCATCTCCTTATTTATCCTCTTCATCGGATGTAATAGTCTGTCATTCTCAAATCTTCCAAACTTAATCACATTTGCAACTGGGTGGATGGGGGAGGTTCGGCCACCAGGCACTTCACTGTTATATTGTTAGGTAATATTATTAGTTTACGCAGTAATTGGTGGCCGTTAGACACAAATAATTAAGACCCGAAAGACCAATCTTTGTGCTTGCATGTGTGTAAAAAAAAAGCTGTTCCATCCGTTTGTGGACTTTCAGCTGCCATCTACTTTTCACTGCTCCATGGCACATCAAAAATAGAATCTGACAACATGTTATTTTTGTTAGCATGCTAAAGGTTAACACTCTAGTTTACAGTGATCGGGATGATGTGTCTTTTGGTGAACATCTTGCCACATGTTCGATGACTAAAGCCGTTTTAGAAACATTCTGATAGCATCTTATTCATTTTACCAATAAATACTAAACAGTAAATGTAGATACATTGCAGAACAATTACTAAAACTGAAACCTCTTACATATTAACAATTTGATATCAGTGAAAGAAAACTGCAGCTTAAAATCATGGATATTGTGAGTTTAGGTATTTATATACTTATAGCAACATTTGGAAAGAAAAGGATGAGAGAAGAGCGCTAACTTAATTTCTGTAAATTCATTTCCTCGCTGTCTAGCAATGTTTGGCTGGTGGGTTGGTTTTGAAGTTATGAAATCAATTTTCAAGTTGGTAAGTAAATTATCGAGAAAAGGGAGGCTGCAACCTTAGACATCCACATCTGATATTGTTGGCATCCTGAATTAATGAGCTTATGTAAAACAATAAAGGCTTCATTTCATTTAAAGGTGGTTTATACATGATACAGCTCACAGTCCTACTGCAGAGACTCTCCAAATGACTAGTTTCTAACTTTAAGTGGCTTGTTGGAGTTTGTTTGAACTAATTTGGGAGTGTATTAAATATTGATATAGGAAAAGAACACGATTCCTTGAATTAATTTTGCATGCCATGCATGTTTGTCAGATCTTTTGAGCATGTTTACAACATCTGAACCATTTGTCAGCAATATTTTAGAATACATTTTTGCATTAGAAATCTCATTACACAGTGTGCACTAGATTATAAGCAAGACAGTATTATGTGAAGTGAATGCATGAGTGGATGTGCGATAACAGAGAAATAAGAGACTGATTGCATGAATTGGAGACAGTTTGGTCTTTGTTGACCTGCTAGAAACTCAGGGGCATTGTGAGAAATTGCAGACTTTTTTTTTATAAACAAAGGAAAAGCCAGTAAGAATGTCCAATGGGAGGTGCAAGATGTGTGCAAAAATGTATGCTGAGATGATTACACATGTAGTTCCATCTGAGTCAGAGAGAGCAAGCGAGCAAGCACTTACACTTCCTCATTATTGTCTATTGAATGGCTGAAGCTGAAAGTAATGAGACGGAGCTTAATAAGGAAATGCTTCCTTTCAGAAGAGGATGAGAGTTGTGAGCCTGCTGTATCTGCCATGTCTCATTAACAGGCTGCTGCAGAGCACATGGTGTCGCACAATAATGAGAGTTTTGGGGGTGGGGGTTGGAAGTGAGCGTGCTGTACTCTAGAGATATCTCTTTTGTGTTGCCAAGCATTTAAGTTCATTCTCAAGCAGACACCTGGCACAGATAAAAATAAGGAATACAAAAAGATGGATATTAGAAGACTAGGCAATGCAGCAGTGAAACATGTATCATATTTGTTCTATATTCGATGTCTTCAGGTTCTCATCTCGGTGATGCCTGACACTAAGATTCTATTATCTTGCAATACATTAAGTTTTCTAATCCCTGACTATATGACTGGATAGTGTGGTTTCGCACTGGGAGAAATGCTTAGCCTAGACAGCAGAAATTAACATGTACCATCCTGCCTTCCATCAACAAGGTTTAAATCAGTTCATTTAAAATTATGATGTATTGTACCGCTAAGACCAAAATATGGAGAAAGATGCTATGAAGGTGAATTACCAAATAGAACATTTTCTTTAGCCATAAAATGTTTTTTGGAGGTAAAATAAAGAAGGGTCTAACTGATTCCTAACGGTACTATGCTTTCTTACAGTGATGTAAAATTACTGTCAGTATTAGAATATTGTAAAACAATGACATTCACATCAAGGTAGAGGCATAGACAGTCTCATGGTTTGTGAGGCAAGTTTCTGATCTCAAAAGGTTACTTTGCTCATATTAAATCTTCTTTGCACATTCAGGTAAGACAAGGATCAGCTTCACATTATGCAAATTTTGTTAGAACAATAGTTCATACCAGTTTTATTTCTGTTATCAAATGAATGTTTGGAAAATTAATCCAACATGTAAAGAAATGCAATCCGGTCAGCATTTCCATGTGTTCAGAATATTCATAGAGAAACATATAAATGAACACATTATAGATCATGATATTTTCATTTTTTGTGTTATTAAGTAATTTACAAAGTTGCAACCAAGCTATAATAAGTATTAGTTACAATGTAATAGGCTACATTAACAATTTTCATAACCTGATGAGTTATTGTATTAGGTTTATGAATATTATAACACATCTTGATTACTACTTGTTCTGACACTGATTATGACCATCTGCTAATTCTAACTGACCCCAAGTGCAGAAGAATAAAAAAAACCTAATAATGAATGGAATGAATTTTGAAGTCAGACAGAAAGCAGCAGAAATAAGAAAAATATATACGACAAATGAAAATGGCAATGAGACTGTGCAATTATAAGGAAAGATAAGAATTTAACTTTATAAATACAATTGATTTGTATAATGTCATCTGAAAGAACAAAGCATTTTGATATTTATCGCTCTGAAACAATGAATGAAAGATATGCTGGTGTCAGTCTGTCAATTTAACAAACGATACACGTTATCCAGCGTTTATGCCAAAGCAATAAGAGAGATTGGTTATCCATCTAGGTGGTGACATCCAGAGATTTTACCTTCAGCATTTAAAAGACAAAAGTAATTTATTATTTCACCCCAAGTCTTTCATCAAAAAGTTGTGTTTTATAGTCCGATACAAAGATATATCAGAGAAGAGTGAAGTTTTATTTAAATAAACAACAGTTATGGATTTTTTGTTCTGTTAATGAAGGCAAGTTTAGAACTCTGCATGCAAATTTTCTGGTCTTGATATAGAAATTCGCACCTATTGCACAGAAATCCTGAGATGAGACTATTTCACACTTTCTTTCTAGTTCTGTCTTTATTCCCCTGCCTTTCCATATATGGCATCACATAAATTTTAAATGTTGAGGCATCCGTGATTCTCTCTGATAATTCTTTCAGATAATTGTTAAATGTTAATTGACTAATAGCTGAGAATGGTATACTTTATAACCTAATATGCATTCTGTTTGGTCAAACTCTCATTTCCATATTATTTAAGATACACTTCATGTGTCTGCTTGATAACCTTTGCAGGTGATATATAACAGCTCCCTCTATATAATCTACTTAATAATATATATCAAAAACATGATCATGTAATCAGCTTGCTAACATTCCATGCGATTTGTCTCATAATCCTTCTGTGTATTTGGC